GTTTAAACAGGGGGCGCCTGGGTGGCTCAGTTGTTGGGTTTGGCTCAGGTCATGATCCAGGACCCTGGGATAGAGCCTGGCATCGGGCTCCCTGCTTGGCACGAAGTCTGCTTCCCCCCCTTCATCTCCCTCTCCTTGTGTTCCCCCTCTCGCTGTGTCTCTGTCAAATAAATAAATAAAAATCCTTGAAAAAATAAATGTTAAAACAAGAAATTTTTGTGGTAAGTGCTGTGAATTAAGACTGATGATTCGCAGACCTGTATCCCCGAAACAAATAATACATTATATGCTAATAAAAAAGGAAATTTTTATGTATATCATTTGTCTATATGTCTGCTATCCATTTTTATCAACTAAAGAACTATATATACATATGAAAGTCTTTTTCATATACATATGAAAAAGCGTGGGGCTGTATATGACAGCTATTCCTGAAGGGCAAATTTGGAATAGTTATAGGGAATCTTTTACTTATATTTTAAATTTGCCCTCCAAAAAAAGAAGACAAATAGAAGAAAAATAAGAGATGGGGGGTAAAGAATAATTTCTCTTTTCTAAATGTGTTTTTTTCATCTTTTCCAATTTATGAAAATTTTCAAACATACAAGATATTTACTATAATGAATACCTGTGTAGCCACAGCCTATGTACAACAATTATTAACAAGCTTATTTTCTATTTTACACAATTGCCCCAATAAACATGTGTTGCTTTTGTAATTAGGAACAAGAATTATTTGAGGTATTGGTTATAAGAAGACTTAGAAACATTTTTTTTACACACACACAAAACTTTCCTCCCAACCTAGGCCAATGGGCACAGTTCACTTTGGTTTAACATGTAACTCATCTGTCAACTCATCTTAGTGCATATGCAGTTACTGCAGTCCATAAAGATGTACGAGGATTACTAGCAGTTATTTTAAAATCATCTTTTAATAAATGAGTGTTTTCCCTTCCTCTGCAAAGCTTAAAAACTTGTAAGACTTGATTAGCAATTAATAATTCTAGCAAATTCTTCTACAACATCTCCTCTCCCCTTTTCTCATTTTACTCCATTTTCCATTTGAAGTGATAAGTCTAACCTTAGCTAAATGATACCTTCTTATATACTTAGGACTCTAATTTTGTAGGTCATGGGTGATACAAATAATGGTACTTGAATTGCCTGTTTCATACTAGCTCTTACCAACCCAGTATATCAATAAATGATGACTAATTATTGCCAACTACATATTTTTTAATACATTGGGTAATTTAAGTTCTAAACAAATTAGTTGAATATTGCCAATTCCAACAGACTGTATTCCAGCTAATAAACATGTTCATGGGAAACACCTACAAAAAGATGTACCACATGCTCTTAGGAAGATGTTGGTCTTCCTCTCCCTCTGTTCAGATGCTTGAATATAGCATTTCACGAACACAGTGACTAGATTGTCATCCAAAATTGGAAAGTGTGCTAAAGCAATGTTTTTCTATATCCCACAGCCTTGCAAAGATGGCTCTACTGAAAACAACAGATTTCTTTGCCTTTACTTTCTGCCATAGTGGAGAGACAGTGGACAGGAATCTGATGTTTCCTTCCCTGACCCAATGATAGGTATGTTTGTGGTACTGCAGCGAAGGGTATATTTCTTTGAAGAATTTAAACTTTCAGAATACTGTATTAATAGGGAATTAGGCATGTATTTTCAATACCTTTGGAGTATGGGATAGAATTGAGGGAAAAACGTCTGCCTTCTTATGTTAGGCTTTTCAACAAGAATAAATACTTAAAAAGTGAATAGTTATTCCATTTCCAAGATTTTTAAAATTTTTTTATTTTAATTTTTTGAAGATTTTATTTATTTATTTGACAGAGAAAGAGACAGCAATGGGGAGTTGGAAAGGGAGAATCAGGCTTCCAACTGAACAGGGAGCCTGGGATTGTGACCTGAGCCAAAGCCAGATACTTAACGACTGAGCTACCCAGGTGTCCCCCAAGATTTTTTTTTTTAAATGAAAGAAGAATTTATAGAATTAGTAAACTAAATGACATGCTTTCTTTACCTTCTGAAATACACTGAATTTCAAATGGAATCTTTGTTTGATATTTTATCTTCCTCAACAGATCCATTGGAAGTGGAAGTGAACTTGCTTTGAACAAGTTCAGGTGCTAGGGACTGATTAAAAATTATTTAATCGTTAAAAATTATTTGTTTGCAGTGAAGAAGTGGGTGGTTAACTCCCAACTTATGCATACCATTAATAAGAATTGTCAAATTTTATGTTTGTGGATAAATGATTTTACTTCCAAAAGTATGATATATATATAAGTATATTTCAGATAGTGAAAGAGTTTAAAATACAAAAATTAAGGAGCGTCATATCATTTGCTGTGCAAAAACCTACTAAAGGGGTCATTTTATTGTATCATCCAGGAAAGCCCTTGATTATTTGTGAACAAGAGGAGAGGAAAAAGCACAAAAAGGTTATTTGGCCAATAAGCCTACCTATTATCCTGTTGGCAAGTAACTAAGGTGATTTATAGCCACTGCTTAGAATCTGTACCGGTTGAGCAAATGGTCACATTTTTATGAATTTCACGTTAATAGCTGAGTCTATATTCTTTGTCAACTGGTGAAATTTTCAGGACAGCATGCCACATTATTGAGCTTGGGGGGCAAATAGACTGTTTCAACAAATCAAGCTCAAGTAGATTGCTACCTGAGCTAAAACTTAGCACAACATAGTGTTTCCATAGTGAGCAGATATGATAGGACCTTACGACAATTTCTCCTGTTCTGTTGTCTTCCTCTATTAAATCTTGTCTCCCTCTTTGTTCATTTTGCTCATTTTATTCCATTACCCATTTGATGCAAAAAGTCTAACCTTAGTTAAATTATACCTTCTATAACCTTAGCCCCTAATTTCAATTTTGTAAAGCTATTGATGGGATAAGCACTATCCCTTCAACTGTAACATTCATTCTCCTTTTGATGGACTTCTGTGAAATTTAACAGGCTCTCTCCATAAATGGATCTAATATTCCTACATTCACTGGGAAAATTAGATTCCTTATAAACTTTTTTTTATTTGACCATATTTACAAAATTGCCCATAAAAGTGAGACTTATAGATGGAGGTCTCTTGGTTAAAGTCATTTCTATTCCCTTGTTTGTAGTTGCCAGCACTCTGCTGATAATCCTTTCTACACAGTTCCCATTCTTGCTGTCTATTTATGCCCATAAGCATACTCTGTTGGTGCTGGAATAGATGAGGGGGAGCTCTGTTACTGGTCCTTTCCTTCTGGGGCTATCTTTGACTTTCCATTCACCTTCTACTATGCTTCAGTCTCTGCTAGAAAACCAAGATTGTTTCTAATACAGGTGACACTTCACATAAAAGCCAGAAGGGGCAGGGCAGAGCAGCAAGGTGCTGAGTAACAATCATTTTCTCCATTTCCACAACGTGCTGCTCTTGTAAGAAATCCTATTGCACATCATTTCCGTGGCTTTTGGTCCTCTATACATCTGTTTGCCAAATGGAAAAGTGCATGAATTCCTGGGTCCATTATTAAGACGTTGCCTATAGCCTAAAGAAGTCAGTATACTACTATTTCAGAAAGTGAACTGAGAAGGTTTACTACAGAACTCAATTCATATCCAGTTGCCTTAATGGGGTAGCTAGATAGAGACTCAACAGGGAGCATCTACAAGACTACAATGATCTTAAAGGACTGCGTAGATTTGTTCAGTTATCATCAGATATGCAAAGTCTGCTTTTATCAGCCTTTTAAAAAATACATACAAGAGAGTTTTGGCTACATGAACATTTTCTTCTACTTGTATGCTGTTTGAGGTATACCTTTGCTTTAAAAAAACTGATTTTTTAAAAAATCTAACCTCCTCTGAGGCAGAACTTTAAAAACGACCCACATTTATGATGATGATTTGTATAGCCACTTGGAAAATGCCAGATGCTCCTTTCAACTGAATTGTTACTAGTTAAACGATGATACATATACATTTAAGGGAGAAAATAAGCCAGATACAATGCCTTGTATTCAATTCAAAGCAATTCACTGCAAATGCGTAGTTTAACACATTTGTAGTATATCCTACTATGAGTTAGGGCGTCCATTTGACACACTTGCCAACAATTTGGCAAACAATAACACAACCAAATTTTAGTCAGACTCCTTAGATCAGCTCTTTACTTTCTTAACTATCCTTAGGTATTATGGCAGTGCCACTCAGTTTTATGTTTTTAGATCTCTTTACCATTTATTATTTACCATTCATTTGGTATAAATAAAATTTACTTGAAAGAAAGCAAAATAGAGCTAGCCTTGAATTAATAATATTGTACAAAATGCCCCTCAGCAGGAATGACAGATTTGCTCTGTTGAAGCACTTAATGTTCTTTAAGAAACAAGGATATTTTTCTTATCCTCAAAATCACTTTACATGCCTCCCTATAAGAGACCAAATTGGCCGGTTACATGCAGTATAGGTAATATTTGAAAAGAAACTGATTTTTGCCCCACTTTGTTTCTTTCCCTCTCACCGCCCCCCTTTCTTCAGTGAAACATAGACGCAAATTAATAGGAAAATACAAAATAAGTCTATTCTTTCCCCATGGAATGAATGATACAACATCCATCCACCCATTCATTCACTTTATAAGAAACTGAATTCTTGCCAGATAAGTGTCATTAAAAATAATAAATGGTGTTAAACCCCCAAAATGGTAGATATTCTTTCAAGACTATAGATTTTCCAAAATCTAAAGGTGAATTACACATTTTCTCTTGTCTGCTCCACCTCAGATTTGCAGTTAACTTTCTTTCCTTTCAAGACTTATGTATAATGAATCTCAATAATATTACAATTAAAAATCAAGATAAACAAAATTATTCTAAATAACGTGATACATTTATCTGTCAAAGCAATATCAGGTGGCCAAAAAACTTCCAGTAAATACTGTATTATGGACAAGATGAGTCCTGCCTCTTACCTGGTGTTTGAAAATTAAGGCGCCTCAGTTCTACTGGGTCTGTTGGATGGTGTGAAGGGACCTCCTTACTGTTGGGTATGCTGCTCTTTCTAGAGTCAGACTCTGCCCTCTTCCTATAGGGAGAAAATAAAAATGTAAGAATAAAATAAAAAAGCAATAGAAACATTTAAAAAGCAGAGAGTCATGCAACCCTCTCTCCCTCCCAACTTCCTGTTGTAAACCATTCAACAGTCCTGCTTTGTGACCTTGTTCAGGTTGCTTTTCCTCTCTTGGCCTAGACTGTTTCCTCAAAAAAAAAAAAAACACTTTTATTTAAGTGAATGATCTCAAAGTCTGCTCTAGAATTAAATTCTTCATTGTTTCTGCCTTTTGGCTTTAAGTGGGGGGTGTTGGAGAAATAAGCTTGAGTCCTTGTTCAGCAAATCTCCTTTATCCACTGGTTCAATTTGTGAGAAAAAGGACAGAGTACCTGTAATAGCCAATGCTAATAGAGTACCAATAACATGAATGTGTTTACCATAGAGAAAAACCTCCGAAACTACTGAGCTTCAAGCTGAAGAGCTAAAACCATACCCCTTCTTCCCTCTTTCCAAGATTATATGACTGATGGCTACAAAGAGGACCTGAATTGGATTTTCCCAGAAGTCAGACAAATATAGTGTATTCTAAGATTCCAAGTTAGCCTAACACCTGGAAAGAGAATTAGCACGATGCAAGACCAACATCCCCTTTCTCTTTCAAATTAAAAAAAAAAATAGTGTTGACTGTTTATGGTGTTAAGCTATGATTAATATTCCATTAATGAAAGCCAATCACAGAAAGATCAGAGAAAAACTAATTTCACCTACTGTGTCTCACTCTTCCAATGATTATTCATGGCATAGGAACCATTAATAGTGCCTTGTTATAAGTAATTCTTTACACAATTCATTTCACCTTTGCTTTAATTACTACTAGTTTTATTAAATACCTTTGTCTAGAGTGTGATAATGTAATATTAACAAATGTCTATGCAAGAAAGGTCAGGGTTGTTTTTTTTTTCACCCATAAGATTTCTTATTCATTTTTTTCAAACCCCAAACACAGAGTGCTACCTATTTTCTTTAAGTTTAAACCAGATTTAAAATGGAAGAAATGGAGGCCTTTTTTAAGCAGTGCTTTATTCTGTATTTATTATTCAAAGACTGATTCCAGCAGTCTCTGGGCTGCAGTCATAATCCTAGCATCTCACTCTTGTTCCAAACAAAGACATTCTTCTTTGGGGAAAGGGGCACAGCGGTGTTGAGGAACACTCCCTTCTCTTTCTGACATGACTGTCGCACAGCTCATTAGCGTTGCTGTGGCAATGGGATCTCATTCAGTGCCACCCAGGTCGTTCCATGGTTAGCCAGAGGGCTCCTGTTAAATAGCCTTTCTTTCCATCTCTGCTCATCTGTATAAAATAAAACTAACCAGGGGATGAAGGGAAGATTAATGCAAAGGGAAAGCACACTTGATTTGCTCAAGTGCAGTGCCTTCGGCAAAACGGCATTGATGGAATGAATTTTCTTGGGTGAGTCCTCTTAGACACCTTCCTCTCTCACAAGCTTGAATTAACCTGTCTTGGGATTTCCTGTTTCTACCTAAAGGTGGCAGGTATAGCCTGAGGACAGAATGTACTGCCAAGCCATACTACCAATCCGAGGTAAGCAGTGAATCTGATGGTGCGTGGCAAAGGTACTGGCCGTTCCAGGTGTATGGAGTGGAAAAGGAGAAGGGAAGGGAAATCAGAGCTAGGGCTGGCAAGAAAGATATGAGAAGAAAGAGAAAGAGTGGCTTGGAAGACCATGTGAAAGAAGAAGATGGTGACCAGTTTCTGAGTAGAAAATGCCCCTGTGTTAGGCTGTGGTTACTTCCCTCACAGAGATTCACTTTACCACCAAAGATACAGAATCTCAATGGGCTAATGAAACGCCACCAACTGCCAGTCAGAGAGTCCCCCTGTAATAAACATGCTTGGTCTTCCTGCTTCAGGTTACCCCAGGGGCCCTTCTTATGCTTGTTTGTTTGTTTGTTTGCTTGCTTTTCCCCATAAGAGTCGGCACAGATACATTTCTTTACTGATGTGCCAGACCTAGTGATTCTAACCTGGATTTTTTCCCATCTCAAAGTGTCTCCACTGTCATTTTTGCAGGATTATGGAACAAGATGTAGAAATTTCTAGGCAAGGAAACTAGGTCACTCCTGCAGGTATTGTGGGACATATTCCTTATCTCCTTTTTCACTGAGGACAGGCTGAGTGATATTGAGACAAAGGGACAGAAAAGAATACTCTCTAAAGAAATTTAGTCTGTTTCCCGGTGCCAGGGAAGGTGAACGTCACATCTTGTTGCCCAGATGAATCTCAAAACCCAGAGCATGGGATTAACATTACAGTTTATTCTTGTGATAAAGCGTGTGTGTGGGGGGGCGTGTTCCCTGACATTTAATAACTAACTTCTTCCTCACTTTATCTGTTCAAATCAACGGCCTCCAAGATCTCAGATTCCAAAAATCCTAGCCATCTCAGAAAACCAGCCGTTTAAATTTTGTTTTGCTTAGTTTAGTTCTGGTGATCACAACATGGATAATTCTGGCTGCCCACACTTTTGCCACATTATTTTTAAACATAAATGTGCCAAAATGGTTGTTTTCTAACAGAAAGGATTTCTAAGAAATGCTTGCAGGATGAAGAGTTTGGTCATCTTTGGGTAATAATGATAAAGAGCTTTAAAAATAGAATTTACGGCCCTAGAGTTCTTAAATGGCGTATGGTGGTTTGAATCAGGCCCAACATGAACGTACATAGTCACACATTTTTCCTAAGTTTTTAGAGGTCTCATTATTCTCATTTTCAATGAGATAAAAGCAAAGATAGTGACTCCAAAATGATGTGAATTTTGCCTTGCGATTTTATTTTTTCTATTAAGATTAAAAGTCCTATTGTAAGGATATTTCCCGCAAAAAGAACTATCTACCACATGTAGGAGTTATATGGGTGAAAAGGAAATGCAAGGTCACATGACACTTCAGATATGGTGGAAACTGCTAGTAATATAAAAATGTGTGGTGGTTTGGGATGTGGATCACATATAAAAAAAATTCTACTCTGTGGTCTAAGGGCCTTTTATTGTCATTTATTCTCACCTGGATCTCATCTAGGGATGAAGTGGGAGGGAATCCACTTACTTAAAACAAAGATATTCAGACATATGGGCCAAGGCTTTTGGAAGACAGATATATTTATCAGAAATCTCTGCTATTAAATTCAAAGAAATCCGTTCAAACACTTTATGATTATGATGCTTTTAAGAATGTAACTTCGCTCTGCCACTACTGGTGTGTATCTTGTTAGGGAAGTCAACTATAACACTTCTCAATTTCTTTGTGTACAAAAGAGAGGAAGAAGGTTTCGAGATGATGTCTACGTTAAATGTTGTAATTCTTTAGAAGTTGAATTGTTTTATTTATTTATATATTTTATAAAGAATAAAGGTATTGAAGAAAATTTCTAGTCCTTTCATGTATACATTAGATGTATGCATTTGTAAAGTTACCCACATAATGACTTAAATAATTCTGAAGGCTGATACATAAATTAAAGTACCATTTAATTTAGAAAATTATAAACTCATTTTTAGTACCTTAAATATTCAATAAATGTTAATTATTTTTTCTGAAAAAGAAAGAGAGCCAATTCTCTCATCTTAATGGGACCAGAAGGCAGTGATAATGTTATAAAATGTAGACAGTATTAAATGGGAAGGTAGATCTCTGAGTATATTAAGTGGATTCAAAGTGTGTTCTGTTTTGACTAAAAAAAAAAAAAAAAACACAAAAATCAAACCTACTTTGCATGTGTTTTTAGCTAGATTAATGACTCCTAGTGATATTTTAAAAAAAGACACCCTACAGAAATACTAAGTTTTCTGTCAATGAAAGTAGCTTGCTGACCAGTGTTAAGTGATTTTAGGGAAAATAATAGAGCCATGGTTCTCAAACTTTAGCATGTAATGGAATCATTTGGGAGGGCTTACTAAACTGCAGACTGTTGAACTCACACCCAGAGTTTCTGATTCATTAGGTCTGGGTAGGAAGTCCAAGAATTTCTATTTCTCTCACTTTCCCCGGTAGTGCTGATACTTCTGCTGCTGGTCCAGGGAACAAGCATTGGGAACTACTGGAATACAGTACTGGGAGGAAAACGACTGAGATGAGCACTGACGCCCTTTTGTTAGTTTTAAGTTTTATCAGAAATCTGTACCTATCAATATAAATGGAAAAGTATAGATAGATACACATTTAGATATATAGATATGTTAGAATGTAGAAAGTTAGATTGGACCAGTCATTCAGTAATCACACAGATAGCTAGTCTTACCATTATTATTATTATTATTATTATTATTGCTACTACTACTACTACTACTACTACTACTACTACTACTACTATTGCTGCTGCTGCTATTATTAGTTGAGTTGGAAAACATGGAAAATAATTTGGAATTATGTAAGAATTTTCACAGAGGCACAGTCACCAATATTTGCAGGATATGAAAATGCCAGTTGTGTTCCTGTATCAGGAGGTAACCTCAGATCAAACTTAAAAATCGGTATTGAGTAAAAACAAACAAAACAAAACAAACGTTTTATGGGACACCTCACATTTCTGTTCTGCAGACACATTAACACATACAAATGCTCATTAAAACAAAATCCAGACTGGTTTCATTACCTTCTAAATTTGGATAATTTGTTATTTCTTTTTATATAGACAAAGTAATTTATTTCCCCCAGAATCATTTTAATACCAATCATTTTAATATTTTATAAACTAGGCTTCGTCCATCTTCTACTTTTATATCCAACTTCCACCCTCACCCCCTCAATACTTCCAAAGGTTACCAGTATCTAGTACTGAGCATTAAAGGGGTTTGTTCTCTATTCCTCACCTGTCAGGTTTACTGCTCCATTTTAATGCAGCAAAAAAAGAAAAAGAAAGGCTAAATGTTAGTTGGCCAGTGGTAACAAGAGTAACTATGACAACCAAGATTTAAGAAACACTGCTCACCAGCAGGGACACATTAACTAACACACATTGGGAAATGACAGTGTATCAAAACTTTAACGGTCTCTAATTATGAATTAAATGGAGGACATGAGGGTACATAACTAACTAAAACATTGTTTGTGCGTACATTAATGTCACATTCACTTTTATTCATCAACCTACATAATATCGCCACAATTAATTATTTCCCAGAAAGTGTTTGATGGTAGAGATATAATATGATTTTTGTAAGACATGCCATGAGGAACTACTAATGTACTTAATGGGAATACAACATAATTCTGTATAAGAAATTTGTTCATCTAAAACAAAACCTTCAATTAAGAGGTATGTTATTCCTTATAAAATATAAATATTATATAAAATATCTGCAAATTGCATTGAACTGCACAAAAAATGTGCACAATGGTATAATACACTATGAGGTAATAAAGTGGCAAAAATAATTTCTCCAAACTCCTTTTGACAAGTAAGGTTATCATAAATCTTTTTTCCAATAAAGATCAAATACATTTTCAGTTTTGGAAAAAGAAATACTCATCACTATAAATCTACAGAGCATGACCCATCTATATTGCTGGGCTAATCCTGAAAGTCTTTTATTACCAGCCACGGACATGACAGATATTTTCCTAGTCAAAGAGGTGCTGCTGTCTGTAAAGACATCTAGCTCATGCTCATGTGATAATATGTGCATTGTTAAATAACTATGTTCTTTATGCAGAGAATAAAACTTTTACCTGAAAAAATTAATCTAAATAATCTCCATGGTGAGGTGAATTGCCAAATATTTGGAGCATTCTTAAATCCAAAATAGAGATACTAAGTCTGCCTTAATGCCAATGAAATATATACCTGAGTGGCTAAAGAATCTGGATTTAAGGTCTATCTCCTTTCAAAAATACAAAATCCACATTTAAATTGTACAGACACACACATACAAAGTGAATAATGAAAATGATATCAAACACACTGGTTAATTCTTTGTATTTTTCTTTTTAAAATGATTTACCTAGTGCCCCAGGTTTTAAAAATCCTATATATATGTTTCTAAGTTGTTCATCTTTTTGTTTTTTGTTTGCTGCTGTTGTTGTTGTTTTGTTTTTGTTTTTGTTTTTAAGGAGGCTTCATGCCGAACATAGAGCCCAACATGGGGCTTGGACTCATGAACATGAGATTGAAACTTGAGCTGAGATTAAGTTGGATGCTTTATTGACTGAGCCACCTAGGAATCACTAGCTTGCTCATTTCTAATCCAGGAGATCTTTAATGAGTAAGTTGTAGGAGAATCTATTTCTTTGCATGGAAGAGAAGTTCTTAGTGAATTATCAGTTTAGTATATTAAAAGGCTGAGTATTCCGGTGAACAAATGCATAGTTGGTGTGTGATTCACTCTTTCCACAGAAATGTCAGACCCACCACACACATAGGTATATATTTGGTGCAAGTATCTAAGTTTGAAGGCTTTAGGAACATATGAATTTAAATTATAGGCTGAGGGTTTTATTATAGCTCTTGCCAGTCAACATGAAGGTGGTATTGTATGATGGAGTAAACAAGCAGAGGGGAGGGAGTTTGGACTTTGTTGATACTATTCAATTGATATAAGGTTGATTACTCATTAACCCTCTGTGCCAAGCAATCTACTAGGCATAAGGGATAACAGGAAATGACAGAGTCCCTGACATACAATTTAGTGGGGGCAAGAAAGACAAGGATATGCACAAGTCCAGTAATGTGATGGTTCTGTGACATCCATAAGCAGAAAGTGCTTTGAAGAGTGTAGACGAGGGAACGCCCTTAGGGGAGCCTGAACTGGTAAAGAGAACAAGGCAAGAGGGAGGCACCCAGAAAGACTTTTTAATAGGTGGCATCTTAGATTACTTCTAAAGGATGTTTCAGAGTTGGCCAGGCCAAGGAAAGAGGATGGGGAGTCAGAGGAAAGGCATTTCAGGTATATAGAAGGATCTACTCAAAGGCCAGAAGGCAGAATCAATCAGCATTGTCCAGTGTGGTTGGGCATGGCAATATACTTCTCCGTAGCATCTCAAAATGTCCTGATCTGTATTTATTTCTTGATGACATCTTGGAAATATGCATAAGTTGACACACAATGAGAAGACTAGTAAGGCACAGTCCACAGAGAGTGGCTAATGATGGAACTCAGGGAAAGCTTGAAAAGCTGAAGTCTGTGTTTTCATCCCATCTATCCCATGGCTTTCATACATGAACATCTACAGGTGGAGATGGGAATTATTCACTCTGTCCACAATATTTATTTAAGTTAGACTATTACTTTTTAAAGATGTTAATTTTGTTTAAATAGTGCCTTAGATCCTTCCGAACTCCTAATCCATATTTTCTTTTCTTCCATAGTACATAATAAATACTTCTCATCCATCTTGAAATGCATTCCCATAAAGTCAGGCTAACATCTTATTTTCAAAATATCTTCTATATAAATAATTCCTGGACCATGCTAGAACTAATGACTAAAAAGCCTTACACATGGAACAAGTATATGCAGTAGATGGATATCTAAGTGTTCATTTGTTTTATGGGTTCTTTTATTTTCTTTTTTGTGGGGTGGATAAATGGAGAACAACCTAGAGTCATATTTTAAAAACATATATACACTGGAAACAGAAATGTTATAGCAATAATTCTATTATTTAGGTTTTTATGTTGTCAGATTAAAGAACATTATTATTAAAATGTTCAATTATCTAGTCTACCTACTTACTTTATAAACGAGGAAACTGAGGCCCAGAATGTTAACGTGAATTTCTACCCCAATTAGTTACCTAGTCACAGAGCTAGGACTCAGGTTCCCTGATACCTAGTTATCTGATCAGTGTTTTTCTAATCCTTCCTACCATCTAATCTCTATGATTCACATTTTGAAAGCTTGTGTACATCATATATAGAGAAAAATTTAAAAAATCACAGGGAAAGAGAATTCATTACACTAAAGACCTACCAAATATATTTTAATTTTCTTATGGTTCAGCATGAATTTCAGGATTCTTATAAAGCCTCAGTTGATGTTTTGTCACTGATTATCAATGTATTATATATAGGCTTACAAATTACTAGATTAAAACTAAAGTCATATAAATATAATGCCAGATAAAAGAGTACTAGTTCCACATCAATATACTTAACAGGAATAAGTCTTAGTCTCCTCACATAGATCTATAAAATATGCTTTTTTATATGAATAACCCATCCACAGCTCTAGACCTACTCCTATGGCAAGTAGTTTAGTAAGCAGGTGTGTGTGATAAATGGTATTATCAAGATAATGTGAGTTAATAATATTTAATAACAATAATAATAATGATATATTCAATTCTGAGTCATTACTGATGACCTATGTATAAACTGAAAGACACCTAAAAAGAGGGATGAAGTATTTATTATATAATTAACTTTGCTCAGAATCTAAGCTATAAAAGACACTATTCGTTGCCTACAGAAGATTTCTTCTTGAACTGCATCATGATAATCAAGAAGGACATTGTTGGGTCTACTTGAATTTCAAGTCAGGAATGTTCTTTACTGCTGAAGCAAGCATTTCTATTTCAGAAACGCTTCATGGGCCTTCAGATGGTTGGCTAAATATACTTAGCATTCGAGGATGTGTGCATTTCCCAACAATTGCATTAGACAATGCTTACATATGCACACACTAAAATGCAACTCTATTTTAACAGAGTCATAAAATCTTTAAATGTGATGCTTTTTTTGAAGGATTAGAAAAATATATAACCGAGTTGAATTTTTCCTCAAGCACATGCACATGAGGCAAGGAACACTAAATTATAAATCTTTAAAAAATTATCAAGGTTATAATTTTATTTCTTCACATTTACATAACTCACAAATGCTACACACATCTCTGTAAAGTGACATGACTTAATGATAGCCAGATATAGCCAAATGAAACACAACTTAAAAAAAATACAACAAGCATTTTGTTCATTTTGGAAAATCACAAAATAGTCATGTGCCATGGTCTAGAAATGTAATCATCCACAAGCACTTTCTGATCTGACTCCCACAGCAGGATTTGGCCATCTAAATACATATCACAGAAAACAAAGATAATTCTACTTTTAATCTTTTATTTTTATATTCTTTTCTGGTCATGAGTGTAGCACATAAACAGCACAGGATACCAGATCCTGCCTGGACTCAGAATTTGTTATTGTTCTGGGGCATGTGGGCACCTTGTGCTTCCTGCCTTTACTCCTTACACAAGAGAGACAACTCAATACACACTGATATAATATGGGGATGGGGAGATTGAAACCATCGTCTAAGAGAGAGTTTGGCCTTAAATTACTTGCTTTTTCAGCCATCTTATAGTGTGGATAACTGAGTGATGACAGTGATCAGGAAAAAAAAATAATGATGGATATCTCTTTTCCTTCTTCCTAAGTCTAAAATAGGAGAGGCAATTTAATAGGTTATGGTTATGAACTTCTTTCTTTAATTTTTCTTCTCTTTCAATCCTCTTTTTACACTGAAATAAAATGGAACACAGCCTGTTAAGAGAAAGTTTTGTAAAGGACAAGTGTCTTAAAGGATATTTTTTTAAGTTGAGAAGTGGTTATAAAAAAGAAAAAAAAGACTATTTCAGGAACATAAGAAGAACATGCTTAACAAAAAGAATACAGGTAGAAATAATTAATATAAACCCAGTAAAGGGAGCTAGATAAATAGGAAAAAGAGATAATGAAAACAAGATTATCAGATGAAGCATGTCAGTAAGAATCAAAACGAAGATATTCTCATCTGATTTTGAAAGTCAAGGTTATGGGGGGGAGGGGGCTATTTTACAGTACGGGGAAGAGATCATCTTCACAGTAGCATTCTGAAAGATGACATACTACAAAGAAAAATGAGAACATAGATTAAAGTTTCATAAAAATAAAATTTGGATTGGAAGAAAAGAAAAAAGTGATATAAAGGGAGATAATTTAGAATTTAGCCATTCTACACATTTAAGAGAATTTATTATATATGTTAATTTCTATAATTTTATATATTTAAGATCATATATTTTGTAAGTCAGAAAGGATTTAGGGAAAGAATTACTAATGTACCATTTCCAACTGACTGGGACTAGGGGAGAAATCTAGCTTACTCTAAATAAGGCAGAAATGTAACTGATAAAGTGTGGAAGATCAGAAAACATGGTGGTACATGTGGATTATCTGAATCCTGATTGTAGTCAAAGACACTAAATTGGATCAAAACTTGGGAGTATAAAGGTCTAGGTTGTGGTTTTAGTTTTTTAAAGGAAAACAGTACCTTATATCCCTTCTTGGACTCAAATAGAATTCACTATTGGAATAAAGATTATAGAAAGAGAAAGATAAAAAAAAATTCTCTTCACATTTTTCCTTCCTTTATCTTCAAATTTTAGCTATTTTCACTGTTTTGAGAAATAGCTACAGGAAAAATAATCTTAGCTCATGCACTCATTAGACATATGGAATGGGAATAAATGTGTAAGTTTGTAATAGCTTTTCTAAAACCATGTTGAAATTGAGCATCATCTAAAGCTTTCAGATGCAAGTTTGGAATTATCTGCTTATGAATGTACTCATTTCTTGCAAAGTGCCATGCAAAGTGCTCCTGATGCATAAAGTATCTCATAAAACCAAGGCTAAGATCCATGAATGCTGGTCAAGAAAGTCTATACCACACTTGAATGGGATTTAAAACAGCACAATCTTTATATTTCATTCTAATCCAGTGGAAACATTTTCCAATGATTGTGGAGACTACACCGAAGTACTTCATTAATAGCAACCACATGATGACCATAGAAGGATTACCAAGACTGCAATAGAAATATTGGGCAAACCTACCTTTTATAAAGAAGGATAGCTATGACAATGCAGATGATAAAGACCACCGCAAGGACAGGACCTACAACCCAGATCAAGCCTTCTTCTTCATCTGTGATTGGCTGTGGATCCAGATCCATTGACACAACAGGGTCAGAGTAGGGACTGGTTGCATACATCTTCTGAGGAAAAACAGAGTCTGTGTTACTTATAAACTAATAGTTTTCTCGCGTATATCTATACCATTAGAAGAAGCAAAAATTCAGAACTTAGTGGATGCGATGTTAAGTGTATGAAACAATGTCAGTGAGAAAGGTGGGGAGGGAAACGGATGAGAGAAGTGGGAGAAAAGGGAGGAAAGAGGAAAAGATAAAGAGGTCATGCAATGTAAATTTCCTTGTACAGTGAAATATTTTCTAATAAAATCATTTCTGATGGTATAAATTACTCTGCAGACACTTTTTTGGGGGATCTATATATGACATACTAAATGGTCTTATGAAGTGTAAATGAAAACAGTTAACCATTTACAAAATGTTCAATGAGCATTTACATTGTGCCAAGGTGTTACATGTTATGTGAATATCAACAGAAATATTATAGTTTCAGCCCTAAAGACATTATCAGCCAGCTAAGGAGACCAAATTTAAAAAGTAAATATTTATAGGAAAAATGTCAGTATTTGGGGAAGGGGAAATGGAGACATGTAGGTCAAAGGGTACAAAACATCAGTTATAAGAACTTCTGAGGATCTAATGTGCGGCATGGTGACTATAGTTAATAACACAGTATTATATATTCAGAAGTTGCGGAGAGTAGACGTTAAGTATTTTTCAGCACACACGCACACACACACACACACACACACACACACACACACAAAGAGTTAACTATGTGAGCAGATGGATAGGCTGATGATCTTGATCTCGGTAACCATTCCACAATGTACATTGTACATCAAATCATCATGTTGTACACTTTAAATACGTAATTGTATTTGTTAACTTTCCCTGAATGAATTTGGGAAAAATATATAGTTACTTGGTGAAGGAATGAGCTGAGTACTATAAAATTTTTTTTTATAACACATCCTATGTCTCATTTCAGGCTCTCTTAGTACAGTATTGTCTTGACTCTGCCCCCCCCATATAAGGTCCTAGACTTTCTTTCTCCAATAGAGACCAGTGCACACCTATGTGCTGCCCCACCTGTCCTGCCACTAGCTCCTCATCTCTTCTCACTCCAGCACTACCACTTGTTCTGCTTTCTCATTTGCTAAATCAAATTGTCATTATTCATTCCCTTCCAGATATCTTTTCTAGATTTGCCCTAGTAGATTGAGCCTTATTTGAAACTCCTCCACTGACTGCCCTACTTCTTTATTCAAATGGTCGCATTCTAATCTTGCCAACTGATCATGACCACCTCCGAATCCATCCTGTGTCAGAATTCACAAGTTTTATTTTCTGCTACTCATATTCTCCCTTCTCTGCCAAGATCATCCTTACCTTTAACTACCAACTTCTATGCAGATTACTTCCTGATTAATGTTTCTAAAGTCAGAAACTTTGCTAAGTCCCAGACCTTCATTTCCAATTACTGCTAGAGATTCTTACATCTACCTGAAAGTCAAGAATTGCATGTGCCATTTCCCAACTTCCTGGATAGACCTTCCTTTCAACTTGCTAATTTGTCTCATCCTCTCAATACCTAGGAATGAAAAACTACTGATTTTATTCTGCCAATGACCCTCAGGTCACTCTACCCTCTTCCCAGTCTCATGGGTACCACTTCTCTTCAGGACCTCATTCTTGCCCACCCAGAGCATACCAAGAGTTTCTTTTTTCCTCTACCAGTCTCTACTGCTGCTAGAGTTATTATCCTAAACTATAGCTATAAAACCTTCAGGAGGCTCTCTGGTGATTCCTAAATAAGCCATAGACATTGTAGCATGGATTTTAAAGGCCTCTATGATTTTGTTTTAACCTTTTGTATCACACACAACATTTCCTATCATAGTGAGCTTCTCCCTACTATTCCCTAGATGCTCAATTCTCTCTCTTTAACTCTCTCACAAGTTCCACAACATTTAGCTCCTGTAATCTGACTGATCTCCAAGGCCCCACTGAAATATTGCCTCCAGTGAAGCTATCACTAAATAACTGGAAATAATCAATCATTTCACAAAGTATAGGTAAAAATAATTTTGAAAATTTCAGGTAGTCCTTTATTTCTTTTTTAACGGTATTCATCAAACTCTATTTTCCTTTTTTATGTGTGCATATACCTTATTTCCTTTAATGAAACTATAAACTCCAGGAAAGTAGGGATTTATATACTGTTTGTGTTTGTACACTTAAACAGCTAGCACAGAGGTTTGCACTTAATGAATTCCCAGCAAATCTTCAGCAAATAACATGTTCATCTTTTCAAATGGCTGATCTTATCAAGACATGAGAGAATATTCTCATTTCTCCATGAAATATGAAGTATATCTAATTTTTTCATACACATTTAAAGAATTAATTTAGGGCATACATTCTGAATTTAAGTGCAGCAAGCTTAATGGTCAATCTAAAAGTTTGTTTTCTATTCTTCTTTTCCACTTTCTCCACTGTACTTAGGAAAGAGACTGACTACATTTCCATTTTTGCTAATGTGTCAAAAGATAAAAATTCAGTACATTTCCAACCTTCTCAGAAGCAGCTAAAAAAAGGATATGTACAGTGTAAGGACTTGGCAAAGACACTAAATATCCAAGAAACATGATTCTTTATATAAGCATAATTGTTTGTTTTGGTTTATGCTTTCCCCTTTCTATCTTGTAGGTCACACTCAAACTGTTTGGCAGATAAAAGTAAACAAAACTCTGTGATTTGAAATTCTTTACCAAGGGTCTTTGAGATAATCATCTTGGTCAACCAAGATACAAATCTAGGCAGAGGTTTTCCCAAAGCACACAGACTTTCATCCTAAATCAGGAACTAGAGACATGTGAAAATGAAGAGAAAACAAAACCAAACCATAAAATGATATTAGTCTCATGAAAATTAAAACTTGTTCAATGCATGGGGATGATAGCCTTTGGTCTTTCTAAACCAGTCCTCCGATACTCTTAATATGAGGCAGTAATTTACTAGGGAAAACTCACATCTTGGGGGGGTGGATATTTTCTATGAAAATTCTCAGCCTAGCCTGGGAGTGGTTAGGTGCTTAACAACAATTTTTCATAAAACTTTGATGGCATCACTACCAACATTATACTAATTGGATACAAGTTTTCTCTGTAAAGTAGGTGCTAGCCTGAAAACAACACATAAAGAACACTGCTGAGAAAGTTGATGTAGGAAAGGAACAATTCAGACAATTTATTTGGAAAAAGTCCAAATTGCATAATTAATGAGACAGTGAAATGACATACTAAGGGATGGGGTAGACTCTTCATCACTGGTTATATATCTAAACACTAGGAACATCTGGGAGAATTCAAACCAGAGTCTCTGACAGTGGTGCCATCAGCCCGCACTGTCCGCTGAGGCTTCTCTTCTTTGCTGAATTCTCTGATCTGCCTCAATGATCTGAATGTGCTTTCTGAAACGTCTTAGAGCTATGCAAAGAAAATTAGTTCAAATATCTAAAAGTCATTAAAAACAAGAAAGAAAAAGATGATTTCTAACATTCTATTCCCTTGATGTTCTGACTTAAAACCTTCAACTAAAAAGAAAAAGCATATCCGTGCATTAAAATTCCAGGGAGCCTGTCACTTTGTTTTCAAATGACATTCTGTGCACAAAGGTAAACCAGGCATAAAGGCTGCCTTTGTGTTTTGATTTTCCACGGGGAAATTCCTTCAGTCATTTGAAGAGAAGCCCCACTGTATATGCTAACACCTGAGGTGAAGAAATCTTTGATACATCTCAGGCTTCCTCTATACGAGAAGTGACTGGCCCAATCGAGCTGCCACGCCTGTCAGTTTTAGGCCCCTATTAGAAAGATACAGTTAGAATATGTATATTAAATGTTAATGTGAACTGCCACTTCAAAATCCACCCCCCCTTCCCAGCTACAATTTCTCTTCCTCCCTCTCTCTTTCTCCCTCTCTCTCCTTTTTAACAGTACAGCAACTGAAGCATAAAACGACATAAGAGCAAGATGAATTACATAAAAGGAGACAACTCATTATTTAGAGTACCTTAGGAATTCTCTGTTTTATTGAATTATTTTCTAACATTCTTGGCTTTTCACTGATAAAGTCCTTGGTAAATTGCTATAATTAAAGAAGCTGACTGTGCTTGCCTTTTTCCTAGATAGACCTTCCTATGAATCTGGGTAGAAAATGTGGGCTCACTGGCAGCTGCAGGAGAATAAAACACAATCACCCTCAATCAGTATTTTTGAATACCTGGAAATACACTCTGTTTAATTGTAGAACTTGATAGTTCCTATTGCAATCAAATGAACTTCTCTGAGAACATTTTTAAAGGACGACGAAGGAGATTTTGAGCAGTGATGGGTATCACCCTCTTTTCCGTATGTGTCACATTGATGGTTTCAAGAGCAATATTCTAACAATTTGACACTTTAGAAGCCATAAAGTCCACCTAAATTCCATGTCATTAGAGACATGGCCTTGTTTATTATGAAATCTCAAGCAGCTTACTCAGCAGTATTTAAAGAGGAGGCAGCCTGTTGCTCCATTTAAGTTAATGATAGCTCATGAGAAATAACTAGGAGTTCATGAGAAATAACTAGGGTGAATATATCTACACATTCTCCCTAAATAGCCATACTCTGGTAAAATAAGGAAGAATACCAAAGGAAAGAGATGCCAGCACAATTAACTTACAGACTCTGCGTGTTCCATCACTGCTAACACAAAGAAGACATATTCTTGACCACTTTGGAGTTGTTTGTTTGTAAATCCACCATAATGTTTCTCATCCCCCAGGGTGAACTCAGTAGGAAGAACATCAAAGTGAGCAGCAATATATGGCTTTAATTCAACTTCTCTCCCATATCGGATGCTTCTGCGTTTCCTAGATATCTCTTTAAGCAGCTTAAGGGAAAGAAGTGGGAAACAGAAAAAGAAATGTAAACAACAATAACCCAACTTAATGACTATTTAATGGGAGAAATTAATTCAGGCCTGGGAACCACTCAAATATAATTTGTCCACATTTCATGTACCATGTCAGCATCACTAAATCTCAGTTCTATATTTCAAATGCTTGTCTTGCTGTTAAAGTAAGGTGTTAGACTGCTCTTGCAAGGCCCAGGCTAAAACACAGGACAATTAGACCCTTCCTTCAGTGGTAGTTCATATCATTGTCTACCCTAATGAAATCTTCTCAAAGGGCAAGAGTGCATTATAACCTAAGTAAAAAGTCAGCTTGATTCACAAAAGCCTGCCATGCAGGCTTTATTACTGTTACTTATCAAACAAATAGTAACCTCATTTAAAGCCATCAGTTACGCTCAATTTTGGGAGAGGTTAGATGCTTTTTAGTAATGAGATCATTTATACAATACAAATTCCCTCAAATTACCAGAAATAGAATCCAATGACCAAGTTTTAATTGAAACTTATTTTAAATAGACATTGTCACTCATTTAATAATTTGTGGCTTGACTTGGTTTCTTAGCTCTTTAAATAACCTTTTTGTTTGTTCCTCCCATTTATAGTCACATTAACTTTTCTGGAGCTGATAGTTCCTTGGAGACGTTGAATTTTCTTCCCAGGTGAAAGAGGCAGGGTAGATAAACATTAAGTTTAATATTACCCTGAAGAAAACAAACATACACATGTACACAAAAATCCTTCATGTATCTTTAAAAGAAAAAGGTAGAACTTATGTTTCAATATTCCTGTTTGGCCTTCACTTTTTTCATTAGAAAGTTATATTAGTGGTATTTTATGATAAATGATTTCAAAGTAATGTTGAAGTTAGCTTTGTCTTCTTCCCTTAAATATATTGGTATTTCACAATACATAACCAGGGAAAAGGTTTACAGCAGTCTGTGATGCTTTTTTTTTTTTTTTTTTTGAATGAAAATTGTCTTTAACTCAATAAATAAAGTTAAGGTACTAATGGGAACATTATGGTGAAATTATTTGCTACTCTTGTTATATAAGTGGAATCACAGATCAAAAACCAAAGGAGTGATATCTGCTTAGCTCCCAAGGCCAGGCTTCTGTGATAATGGCTGCAGAGTCTATATACAGCAAACGTTAAATCCTTATGTTGGGAACCTGATGGCATACTATACAGGGTTATAAATGTATTCAGCTGGTCAAATGCAAATCAAACATGTGAACACTCTTTGGGTTATACAGGTCATCTGTGCCCACATTGTTTTGAATTCAATTTATAATGCTCTAATATTTTCTTTAACTTTGATTTTATTGATGCAATGAAAATTACATGAACTATAACATGTTATTTTTTAAAAATTTTGATACAAAATATTTAACAGTATATTGGAAAAGTCATTATGAATATTATTATTGATATGTAGTAAACAATGAGCCATTACTTTAAGGATAAATGTACTACAGATGAGCTGAACAGCTTTTTGAAGTTGGTTAATCAGAAACGTTTACCATCAGTTGTTTATGTTACTGTGTTCCCCTCTTCCACTTCACTGATCAAACCCTACCTTGATTTTATCCATATTTCACATGTATGCAACTGTCATAATTCATCCATATCACTGTCATCCCCACAAGTACCTTTTTGCTAAGGTTTCTTTAGAAGACTTAGAGGAAGTACCTTAGAATAAAATATTTGGGTTTTTTGGTGCTCCTTAGATATAATGCAGCCATTCCTTAAGGTCAAACCTGGAATATCAACTCTGCCCCTATAGGTTGCTCTAATTTCTACAGGATGCTTCCTGTGTTATATTTTACATTGGTCAAGCGTGCTCAGATGACACCAAAGTTACCTAGTATTTGTTGAAGTTACAAATACAAATGACCACATTATTTAGCAGCAAGCCTTTGAAGTAAATGCAACGAAAAGCTTATGATATAAGACCTGCCCTGAATTAAATATAACTAATATTTTATGAGTCATTCCGTCCAAAATTCAGTTTGACTATGAACATCTGCTCTGCCCAGTCTGACCTTGACAACAGAAGTTCCAGTGCATGAATTTATTATGTGGAGATTATCTCCAGACAAAGGATGAATGAGCTCAGAAGATAATATTAAGAGTGACTTCTGTTTAGGAAGCCTCTTTCCATTTTTTATGGGCCTAGATGTGAAGCATACATGTGGAAATCCCCTTAGGCCACCATTATATTCGATGATATAGTTTCAATGATTTGAATTATAGGCCTTTCTAAAAAATCACTTGGTCAAATTCATTTAAGAAAGGAACACTGCTTTGTCAAAGCTGGCAGTACCAAGCTATAGATAAAATTACAACAATGCTTTTATTAGCCATGATAGGGGGAAAAATGTCTGTAGGGATCAGAAACTGGATGAGTAAGCATAAAGTGAGGCCATACCCTAGTTTCATTTGTTCCCCTACACAATAGCTACAAAATGTATTGGAGGTAATTCCAAAAGATATATCAAGGGCTTTAGTTTTTTATCAGAAAAAATTTGCATTTTCCAGTCAATGCATATCTTATTTCTTCCACCATTAATTCTACAAATGTGGTCTCAATTATATCGGTAAGAAAAGTGGGAAACAACCCATCCTGACCCCAAAATTTTGAATTAATAAATGTTCTTTATCAAACTATTATACAGATTAATGCACCACAACTTGTGGGATGATTAAAATGACCCTTTGTTATGGGAATCAGCCGCACAGACCCATAGAATTTAATTGCAGGAAAGTTCAATGTCATATAGCTCTATACTTTAATCCATTAGCATTGCCATGCATTTTGGAGGTTAAAACCTGGCTATAAAAAAGAATCAGCTTCCTATTGCTAGCAAATGGTTCTACTTCTAGGAAAAGGTTATTATTTAAAAGTATTCGACATCATTTTTGGATTGGATCTTAATTCTTTGGTAACTCATTTTTTGCTTTTTATTTTTTTTTTGTTTTTTTTTTAAGATTTTATTTATTTATTTGACAGAGATCACAAATATGCAGAGGGAGGCAGAGAGAGAGAGGGAATCGGGCTCCCTGCTGAGTAGAAGGGGGGGGTGATTCCCAGGACACTGAGATCATGACCTGAGCCAAAGGCAGAGGCTTAACCCACTGAGCCACCCAGGCGCCCTGTTTCTAGTTTTTAACAGGAGGAAAGATTCATAGATTCTACAAGTTACCTTTGCATTTAAATTCAGTAATTTATTTAAGAGCTGATTAAAATAGTAAGTAATAACAATCTCAAAATTAACTGATTAGTCAGTTGCAAGTAAAAGCGTGCCTTACTTTGAAATTTTACAAAAGGAGCACCTATAAAGAGGGAACATGATACGATGAGCACTGGGGGATATACTCAACTAATAAATCACTGACTATCAAAAACTAATGATGTATTATACTTTGGCTAATTGAATTTAAATTTTAAAAAGGGGGGGGGTACTTGGGTAGCTCAGTTGGTTAAATGGCTGCCTTCTGCTCAGGCCATGATCCTGGAGTCCCAGGATCAAACCCCACTTTGGGCTCCCTGCTCAGTGGGGAGTCTGCTTCTCCCTCTGCCCTTCCTCTACTCCTTCTCTCTCTTTCTCTCTCTCTCTCTCTCTCACTCATTCTCTGTCCCTCTACTAGATAGATAAAAATCTTTAAAAAAATTTGCAAAAGATCAGTTGACATTTCACATTCAGATGGGAGATTACTATTCCTCTAACATAGGAATGATTTTGTTCATATTGTTCAAATGATTTTGTTCCTGCTTTATTAACAGAAAAAATTATAACATAAATTAATTGACATTATTAAAATTTTATCCCAAATTACACCCCTCCAATGCTTATGTAATCATAAAATACTGAAATAAAAACATAATTCTAACCTTGAACTCATCTCCCCTTCTGAACTCGATCAAGTTTAACTCAGATAAATGAAGTGGGTGAAGATGAACCATGTGTCTAGAGAGGGTGTATGTCTGCCGAAAGAAGCTAACAGCCCTCATATGTCAGATCACAGTCTCCGTAGTGCAGACATGGATGAAATAAACATCTCTTCCCTGTACGGCAACTAAGGAATTTCTACTTTCTCTTGCTGTGTTTGCACTAATTTAAGGTGGAGAAAATACCTGGATACAACAGGTTGGGCTATAAGATGTAGCCTAGGTTATAAATAAACTCAACAAATTAAAATCTCATATGTCCCCAAATGGGGACCTTTTAATTTGCTTTCTGAAGTGATTCAAACCAGCATCATGTTAAAATAGCAAAGTTTTTCCTGTATTTGACTGAACCACAGCCATTAATTTGCTTTGGGGATATGGCTTTGGGGATATGGCTTAATATTTCTGATCAGTTTTCCCGTCTAAATAAAATACATAATACATAGGGCTTATTCTTCATACTATGTATTAAAGTGCAAAAAAACAAAAAACAAAACCAATGTTTTGTTTTGTTTTTGTTTTTTTGCAAAAAGTATTAATTAAAATGCACCTACTATTGTTGTAAGATTTCAGAAATTAAAATCATACTATTTAGTGTTTGCTCTGGTTTTTGTTCTATATTTCTTTCTTGGCTCAGAATTGGGAAAGTGTTTCTTTTCTTTTTTTTTTTTGTCCCTGCAGTTGAACGCATTTTGATTCTGAAATACCACAAAATACAGAATAAGGCAAGCATGCTAATCAGTGTAATTCTGTGAGAAACTGGTCAAGAACACATAGCAGGTCAGATGTTGAATTCTGGTGCAAATCACGATTTAGCATTTGTAACAGCTTCAGCTAAAACTACACTAATGAAGCAGACCTTGGAGTTCATAACAATGATGATTAAGTCTTTGCTCACAATTCACTTCAACTTCCACACCCTGCATCATGTTTTATAAGAGGCAAGGGGCAAAATATTAAAGCCAGCAAAGATTAAACACGTTGTAAGCTTTACTGCAGCTAAATGTCTTTTAATTAAAGCAAAAAGTTCTTTGTTGGGATCCCTAGAGGTTATCAGCTCCATAGCACTGAACCATCCAATAGCTGACCAGCCAGCCATAAGTCAGCACCTGGATTAGACTTCCTCCCATACAGACAAAGAGTATGTTTAATAAATTAAGTAACTAATGAAAGACATAGCCAACAAACACGTAGTTACCTCATCTAACTCCATCTCATCTGGACTCTCCCATGGCTTGATAAATTTCCCGCGAGATTTCTTCAAAGGCACAATTATTATGTAGTAACCTCTGCACAAGAATGGACAGACAAAAATAAGGTCAGATCAAAGGAAATAGAAAATGGATCTGTCCTTAAATCTTCCACAGACCAGTGATTGAGAATGAAGGCAAATTATGGATACGGAGTGACTTGCCCATTAATGAGGAATAACCACCTGTTTGTCCAATTTTAAAAATAACATGGGTAGACCATTAGGTGTGACCTCAAAGATTTTGTATGGTTATTACCACCACGGTTGACCTCTCTTTATGAGGTATCGTAAACAGAGCAGAAACAGTTTGTTAAGACCCTGGTGCTGGGCACATACAAGTTTAGTACCCAACATTACAAGCTACCAAACCAAGTATTTTCTGTGACACCAATTTATAAGGGATTTTTTTAAAGAAACTGCATAGTAAAAATTACTCTGAGCTCATACAAATGTCCAGATGATGACAACAATGATTTCATTTATATACTCCTAAAATACTTTTTATTTGGATAAGAAATTAAATACATAAAATTACCCCTAATTTCATAACAGTTATATAATAATATAATTGTTTTCTACCCATCAAGTTGCAAGCCTTAAGATAAATACTGCAGAAATTTGGAGACAACCACTATCTGAGGGCCTTCGAAATAGATCTCAAAAAATAAATGTGTAAGAAGAGCAAAAATCATTGAGTACTCTCATTAAGAACAGTCAACCAAAATTTTACTAAGTATAAAGGGACTTATTCACAAGTAGATATAGGCTATTTGAAAAATGGTTTTGCAATTTCCACAAACTGCATATCCTGCTCTTGTATTCATGGTTTGTAACTCTGCCTGATCTTTGGTAGTAACTATATAAGAACTCTAAATATAGGTGTATAATGGCTACCACATCAATCACTTCCTCTCAGGAATTATATTAAATGTATACTATATTAATTTAATATAATATATTAAATGTATAATATCATTTTGCTCTCTGAAAAACTGTATAAGGACAGTAAACAAAAAGGTAAATCCAGAGAGATTAAATTATGACCAAATTAAAACACATAGTAAAGTGATACAAACATATATATATATATATATATATATATGTGTGTGTGTGTGTGTGTGTGTGTGTGTGTGTGTGTCTTAACCTTGGCAATAGTCTGGCTCTTTTTTTGTTTCATTACTCTGTATTATAAAATACTTTTAAAACTCCATTATTTTGTGGAGACTTGTAAAAATGAACTTATATACATATGTGCACACACACCTTTAGAAGAGAAGAAAAGGAAGAGAAGAGACCACAGGATGGGCACCACCAACCTTGCATTGAATTATATCACAGAGACAAATAGCACATACAGGAAGGCCTCTTTCTACTTATATCAAAACAAAACCTGCAATAAACTCAGTAAAACCCTGTGATAAAGGACTCAGTTTCCATAAGCGGAGTCTAGAGCTGCACTGTCCAATACGGTAGCCACTAGCCAGACATGTGGCTCATATGAACTGAAATGTGTTCACAGTGTTAAAGACATTGGATTTTTAAAACTATGTATGAAAAGCAAATGTAAGGTATCTCGGCAATAAATTTTTAATAGTGACCATATGCTAAATGATAATATTATAGATATATTATGTAAAAAATATGCTGTTAAAATTAACTTTACCTATTTCTTTGTCCTTTTTGCTATAGTTGCTAGAAAATCTAAGGTTTCACGTGTTGCTTTCATGATATTGAACAGTGTTATTTTAGAGTGTTTTGGTGAAGAATGTGACATCTGGAGATACATCTGGCCCACAATTTGAAGCTCTGTCACTAATTTGCTGTATGATCTTGGGCAGATCATTTAACATCCCTTAATCTCAGTTGTACGCTATGGAAAATGAAAGCACAGTGTGTGGCAAGTCGCACCAAACTGATGCAAGCCACTATTGTTAGCTGACCATCATCGTGGGAGAAATGCACCTGAACTACGTTATTCAAGTAGGACTCAGTGACATTCCCTGAGATGCAAGTTCCAGGGCTTGTCAAACATTTTTTTCTCCCTAATAAAGAATTCAGATCAAACCAGACAACTATACTAGAACATTCTCTCCATGGTGCCATCTGAGCAACTAATCAACAGACTCCCAGAATTACATCACTGACCCAATCATTTTCTTTCCTACCAATAATAATGATGATCAAGGAGGGTGAGAAGGAAGAGTTGGGGTGTGTGTGAGAGAGGCCAGTATCTTGTACTTCATAATCCAGAGTAAGCTTCCTCCTCTTCCTATCCTCCTACCACCTGAAGGATTTGTCAAACAAGTCCATCATGTTAAATGAGCCTGGAGAAGAATGACAGGGGCTGCAACTGAGCACACAAAATAACACTGCAGATGTATTTGATAAACACATTCATCAGGGAACCACCTGCTTTTCACTACCAATTGCACTAAGTGAGGACTGCTTCTCTCCACCTAAAGTAATGATACTACACATTATCATGAGCTCCCATTGTCCTCTTTCTGAATCTTGGAAATCAAGGTTAAGATGATGAATTCTATTAATTTTTCTTCTGCTTTCATACTTGAGTTGCTATTCTTGTACAGGAAAAAAAAAAATCCATTCTTTTCTCTGTACTCTCCAACTGTTCATTTAACTTGTGGCTGGGATAAGAATTGAACAGCCTCTCCCCCACAGCAAGTAATTAACAGTGTGGCTGGATGTGCATGGCTTTTCTGTCTCCCGATGTCCAAAGCATTCATCTAGAGCAGTCAAGGTAAAGCCACTTCAAAGCAGCTCTCGCATTGAAAGAAATGTGGCATAAGGAATTCTGTCCTGGAACTACATCCACACATTTCAGCCATGTTCTCTGCAACCACGGCTTTTCAAAAACCCAAATTGTTGCCTTTTCTGAAACTTGGTTTTCCCCTGACAACCCTGCTTCCCTCACAGGCTTTTCATGTGGGTCTGTGTATTCATGCCCCTCCCCCACCCAGCGAACCTCAGATGGAGGGCCTAGGGTTTCCCTCCTGGTTCACTGTTGCTTCTTTCAGGTATTTTCCCCTCCTCTCTTAACCTAAAAACATAAAGCAAGCCAATAAACAAGTGCCTCTTTTTTTGAAGTTCATACATTTTAACTAATTATTATTATATTATCATGATCTTCTCTTACTGATTTTTGCCATCTATGAAGCTCTTCAGAAACCCCCTTTTTCTTTCCTTCCTTCCTTCATTCTTTCTCTCTTTCTCTTTCTCTCTCTCCTCTTCCCTCTTTTTCCCCCCAGGGTCAGTGGTCTTCCTTTTCTCCCAAACTCTGCCATCATCGTTGCTAATTTCAAGCTCCAAAGAGCACCATGCATTACCCAAGGCTCTTAGATCTTTGATTCTTCTCTGCTAGAGCCCACATCTCCCACTCTACATTACCTAAAATCTGTAATTGCCCTTCTCTGTGCCTGAAGCCAAGGAGCTGCATAGGGCTTGAGAAATTATGTACAGGGAACAAAGATTTTGTAAATTCTTATTCAGCAACTTCAGGCCTTCAATGCTACCTGGCCATCCCACCACAATTTCTTCAGTTACTCAACCTTCCATTTTGTACAAGTTTTTCAGACTCTCTCCCCTGGTCGTAAACCTTAGGCATCTTTACCTCCTCACTGGAAGACAGCTTTATGTCTATGTAAAGAGAAAATAAAAACATTCAGACTAGAACTCTCTCATCTTCCACCTACCAAACTATAAGTTTACTTGCATCTATACGTAACCATAGTTTGTCCTTTGGGTACAGTTGAGGGGCTGGCTCTATTCATGAAGGCCAATCACTTTCTTGAATTGGTTCCCATCATCTGCTCTCTGAGGAAGCTGACTATGCATCATTACCCCCCTACCCATATATTTCAATTTCTCCCTCCCCTTTGAATTCTATTAGTTTCCAACCCTGTATAAATACCTGACATTTAAAAAATGAACAAACCACATCCCACTCGTCATCTTTCTTGCTCTATCCTACTCCTTACTACCCGAATTCTGGGGAGACCTGTGTTTCTTGCTGTTCTCCATTACCTCATCTTCCTCTGACTTTCCAGCCAATAATATTCTAGCTCCTGCCTCATTAGTCCACCTCACTGCCCACACTAGTGTCCTAAGTGACTTTGGTAGGACTGTACCAAAGAAGAGTTTTGAACTTTGTCTTATGTGATCTCTTAGCAGAATTTGAAAATGTTAATGAGACCCTCCATTAAACATTCTCAGCCATTTCTCTGTACCCAATTCTCCTGGTTTTCCACTTAACATCTCTTACCACATTAACCTTATTTCTTTAACAGAATCTATTACCTACTACCTTACTATTAAATGGGAGAATCCCTGAAGATCAGGCCAAGGACTTCTCTTTATTCCCTTTTCTTCCTACATGGTCTCATTCTAGCTCAGGGTATCAGTTGTCACCTAGATGTAAATTATCTTCAGATTCATATCTTCATTCCAGAATGCTCCCTCTGAACTCTAGAGGTTTATCTAATTCCAACTCCATATCTTCATGTCTATGTCACAAAACTACTTTAAATTTACTGTGGTTAAAACAAAACTAAGGATATGCCTCCAAAATAAGTCTTCTACCATTGTACCATGATCCCTTTGCTATAAAACTAGGTGTTATCACTTACAATTTGCTTTAACTCTTTCCCTCTCTCATATCCAAAGTGTCACCAAGTCCTATTACTTCCAAACTCTCTATAGTCCATTTGCTTCTTCCTATCCCTGCAGCCACCACTTCTGCCTCTTTTCACGTCTCATGCTACCTTTGTCCTCTGACTTTCTCTCATCTTTGAACTTAACCGCCTCTAGTTCAATCTCTGAAATTTTCATTTTGCAATAGACAATTGATTGTATCATTTCCAGTTTAAAAACATTTCAGTGGACTCTCATTGCTCTTAGTAGAAAGGCCACAAAGTCTGATAAGACTCAGCAGAATCTTGCCTGAATCCATCTCTCCATGCCCTTTGAAGCTACACCCTGATGGGCTTTCAGTTTCTTGAATTTATTTACTTTGGTCTATTC